ACGACTCAGCAGTTCAGAAGCCCCACCCACCCCTGCTGAAGCCCCAGCACCCACGTGGCAGTTCATGACCATCTGTAGCTCCAACCCTAGGAGATCTGATGCCCTCTTCTGGTCTTTGTGAGCTCTGCATGCAAGAAAAAACCATGCATACGAAAAAGGAGTAGAACTGTACACTTACTTAGGTCAACGGCAAAGTGAAGGGTAGCAAATTGGGCAGAGTGCTTACAGTCGTGATACCCAATAAGGATACTAGTATAGGCTTGATACAAAGGAAGCCATCTTTACCTCGCCCTCTAGGGAATGACTGTGGCAGAATGAGCCACTGCTTCCTCCTTTCTCCTGCCTCGCATAGCCAGATGCTGACCCAGTATCTGTCCTGGTTTCGTTTTGTAATTCTTGGCATCAGCAGACACTGGGCAAACTCACCCAGACCTGGCAGTGGTGCAGACCGGGTCTTCAGCGTTAGCCCCACGCATCTGCAATCACTCATGTAGTTGTTCTTGTTCCTGCTCAGGTTACAGTCCCTGGACATGACCCACACCTCACAAAGCTGACTATTCCAAGGAAATCCCAGACTTTCAGCGCTCTTAAAAAGGATTTTCACCTCCCGTTGCGAGGGCATCTGGATCCCATCCTCGTATCAGAGCCTTTGTGCCCAACCATTCCTCTGTACAAACTAAGGCCAAACTGCTCGGCGGCAACAAAGCCTAGTTTGTTCCTATTCTTCATGACTCTTTGGCACATATTTAAGTAAACTGTGAAACTCAAGCCCCTTCACCGCCTAGAATCAGGGATTGGTTACTCCAGGTTATGGCAACTGTCGCTCTTGTGGGACCACAGTGGGATAAACTCTACTGTTTTTCCAAGAGGAAGAAAACTGGATGCTCCCCAGCTCAGCAGTGACAAAGGCGATCTTCAGTCTGGATGAATGGAGGCCGCTGCCTCGCAAGAGCCGCCCACATACAAATCATCCAGACATGGTCCTGGAAATCTGTAAGAAACTTGAGAAGCAAAACAGACATCCCTAGAAGGAAAAGAAGGTTAATTTTTGTATACAGAAACCCAAATGGACGGACACTTCCTGGTTATCCACTACATACAACCTTGCCATGTGTGCCATTTGTAAAGAGCTGGTTCTGCGTATAAGTGGTTCTCCCCAAAGGAAGAAATTTCTAGATAACAGAACTAAGAACGTCTACTTTTCCGGTGTTCTAAGGGGAAAAGAGAGGAAATGGACAAACATGCCTGATGTGTATACAGAGCGCAACCCATGCCAGTGTCCTTGCCTCCCTGCACCCGGTGCCACAGTCCTGTTAAGATGACGCCCCATATCCTGGTCTTTTGCCTAAGTCCCAGATGCATGGCAAGCTGCTCACTACACACAGCCACCTGGGTACGACCTGTGTGACCCTCACCGCATCACTGAAAGCTGCTCTACGGATCCATCCCATCCTCTCCCTCACTGCTGACCCAGCTTCACCGTCTCTGGCTCCTGGGTATCTCTTTACCAGGTCCATCTTCCACACAGCACTGGAGGAGGGGGCCACATCTTGTTTCCCACTCAGTAAAACTGCATTCCAAGCATCATCATCAACCTGGAAGCCTTGCCATTCCTAGCCCGTGTAGTTCCAGGCCTCCAGACCCTTCAAACGCGCTGATTGTCTTGATTATCACTTTACAGCAGCCATCTCCTTCATGCTGGCCTTCTCTAGGACGGCATGAGCTCTCTGAAGCCAGGATCTGCTTGTTGGAAAAGTTCGCTCCTGTATTCTCAGAGCCTGGTGCAAAATAGGAAATAAATGGTTGGGGGAGGTGTTCCAGCCACCTGCTACAGACCTTACCAGAATTGTAATGATTTGAGCAATTTTATGAAATTAAGTTTTATATTTCGCAACATCCAGCTCACTAGTGTGTCCACACACATACAAACACACAGAGAGGGAGAGAGAGAGAGACTTTTCATGGATACGTCAAGAAAAACATTCCAGAGGGCTGGAGAGATGGCTCAGTGGTTAAGAGCATTGCCTGCTCTTCCAAAAGTCCTGAGTTCAATTCCCGGCAACCACATGGTGGCTCACAACCATCTGTAATGAGGTCTGGTGCCCTCTTCTGGCCTGTAACATACACACAGACAGAATATACATAATAAATAAATATTAAAAAAAAGAAAAAAGAAAAACATTCCAGAGATATGCGAGTAAGCACACTGTAAGGCCGCTGAGAGGGCGTTTGCTCGCTGTTAGCCGCACTACACACTGCCTTCTAGACCAGAAAGAAAAAATTCAATCAGTTTGAAGTAGAAATGCCACCTGTGAAAGTAAATTCATGCTAACTCATCGCAAGAATTAAGAGATCCCAGCACACAAGATGAGGAGACAGAGGCAAGGGGATCTCTGAATTCTAGGCCAGCGGGGCTACACAGCAAGAGACGTGATATAAGAGACGTGATGAATAAGGATAAAGCTCAAACGGAAAAGCCAGGTCGTGACTCTGCTGTGCGGCTCCCGGATGCTGTGCACTTTCCATGGCACACGGTGAGGGCTTGAGACTGACAGGCTGAAGAGACTCATGGGCATCTTGGATGCCTTTTCTTGGTGCCAAACTTACTCTTTATTTTAATATCAATAGTATTTGTAGTTTTTAACCACTTCAGAATTTGGAAATAGCATGAATATCTGGAAAGCATATATTAATAGTTCAGAAAGTGGTTTGGTATAGTGCATTTGAAGTAGAGAAGACTAAGCCAGGTGTGGTAGCTGATGCCTGTAATCCCAGCTCTTGGGAGGCAACGTCAAGACCAGCCTGGACTGTGAGACCCATCTTAGAAAGACAAAAAACAATCAAATTTGTAAGCGCAGACTTGGTTTGCCATGGGGTCAAGGTGGTTCTGAATGCAGACACCCTTTCCCTGGGAAGTTTTTAAAGGAAATGGCTGTTTTCTGAATGGGCTCATGGGCCGAACAGAAAACTTGTTACTGAAATAACTTGCACACAGATGTGTCTTCCTGGAGACTGACCCAGGGCTGGCGCACACGGGGAAAGTGATCTGAGCCACAGCTACTTTTTGTTCTCTTACTTTCCGTTCTGACATTAAATGGAATTTAAAATTCCGTCTCATTAAATTGTGTAGGCTGGACTTGGAACTCACTGTGATCCAAGTTGGCATTGAATTCAATCTGCCTGCCTCAGCCTTCAGAGCAGCTATTACAGTCTGGACCATTATGTCTTTCTTAAAATAATATTATTTAAATCAGAAATCTGTATCAAAACCCAACATAGAGTCAGTTAAACAGCGTGAGGTGTATCTTGGTGACAGTGTGCCTAGCATATACGAAGTCTTGGGTTCGGTCTCCACTTACTCCCACCCTCAAGACAAAACATGACCATGAAATTATTCTCTGGTCTGGGTCCTCAAATCTCCCCAGCTCCTGTGTCCTCCAGCCTGGTGGATATGCTTTGAGGTTCCAAATTCAGGTGTAACCCTTGTACAGAGACGTGAAAGAGCAGGGTGATGGGGACCCATGCTCCACCGTGCTCCTCCAGGTAGAAAAAGCACAGCCAGTATTTGGGTAACTACGTTGAAGGCAGTACATCTTATTAAAGGTGAGCTGAAAACTGAAATACTGGTCAGCAAGAATCATGTCATTTTCAAGGAAACTTTCACACATTCACCTGTGTGCTATTCAAACAGAGATGGGTGAAATCCCAGCACTCAGGAGGCAGAGGCAGGTGGGTCTACATAGTCCCAGGATAGTCAGAGCTATATAAGAGACCCTGCCACACACACACTAAGATGAATAGTGGGGGGTGTCTAGAGAATCACAAGCTGGTGCTTTGCCTTTCACCCAATAAACTGCTGAGTGACTCAGACATGTTTGGCCTCCTCTCTCCATTTCTCAATGCCATGCTTTGTTCCAGAAGCAAACTTGTGCATGTGCCTCTAAAAACAGTGCACATTGGCTGTGCTTTCGGACTATGAACTGATGCTGGGTGAAGTCTGTTTCCTGAAATGTGTACAGGTCCGCACAGCATGGCTGTTCTACTGCAGCAGCAGGCTGAGGGGACATCTAATGGTGTCTGTGAGCTCACGCCTGCCTTCCTTGTGACCTGGGTGTGTGGGGGCGGTGGCTAGATTAGCATTAAAAAACCAGTAGCAAGATGCTCAAAGTGAACTGAGTGGTGGTGGCTCACACCTTTAGACCCAGCACTTGGGAGGCAAAGGCAGATAGATCTCCAGGAGTTTGAGGCCAGTCTGGTCTACAGAACTAGTTCCAGGACAGCCAGGGCTACACAGAGAAAATGTGTCTTGGAAAACAAAAAATAAGTATGTTCAGATTGTCTTAGATTGTAATATTTGCTGTGGAGGGACCATGACTACCTCTGAGCTTATTAAATTTACATTATCTGATTGTCAATAAGGAATGTTCAGGTACTGAATGCTGTCTCTTTCCACTACTTTTTGTTTGCAAATGTAACAAAGTCCAAACTAGAAAACCCTACCATCAAATATACTCCGGGAGAGACCAAATTTAAGATCTTGGACAAGAATGTCTAAACAATACTCCCGAAGTCCAGATGGTCCTTCCAGGACAGGGCATGCTATTTGTGACATATTCCGAGCATGGCTGTGTGTTGTGTGGACAAGATGGGCAAGGGTGTCCCTGACCAAAAATATTTGGGGCAACAGGTGCAGCTCAGTGTACTCACCAAGCTTGCACGAGGCCTGGATTCAATCTCCAACACCACAGAAACATGCAGCATAATTGTAAAGGATTTGCTTCCATCCTGGGAGATGGGAAACTTAAAATCATGCTGCTGTGTCAAGGACAGGTTGGTCTGAGTGCACATCTAACTTCAAAACTGCTACAAGCGGCGCTTTTCTATGTATATGGGTGTTTTGTCTGCATGCATGTTCTCGTACCACTAATGTGCCTGGTTCCACAAAGGTCAGTAAAGGGCATTTGATTCCCTGGAACTGGAGTGGAGTTACAAGTGGTTGTGAGCCACCGTGTGTGTACTGGGAATCAAGAGCAGCCAGCACTCTTAACCACTGAGGAGCCATCTTTTCAGTCCCTAAATAGGAAATGGCTACACAGTAGTTACCAGTTTCTTTAAAAAAAAAAAAAAAGTAAATATAAATAAGTAATTAGCACATATATGACGTACGTTGTCAGAGGATTAGGGAACTGGCCCTGCAGTCTCTCATTTCTGCTATGATGCGCTCCCAGCCAGCTGGCCAGCAAGCTTCCAATGATTCTGTTTTTGCCTTTCCAGCTTCTCCAGTGCTGTAGTTGCCAATGAGTGCCACTGCACCCAGCTTCTCCCATGGTTCCTGGGGATGGAACTCAGGTCACCTGGCTCGTTTACCACCGAGCCATCTCATCAGCCCAAGTATCTCAATTTTAAATTAAGTTGCAAATATTTCTCCACTTTCAAAAGAAAATTAATTGCAATATAATGTATTAGGAGACCTTAGGCACAAGTTCCATGACACATCTTGCCTAGTCTTACATATTTAAATGTGCAGCTATTAAAGTTGAATGAGCTGATGGATCTGGACTACCAACCCAACAATGTTTAAAAATCACACGCTGGTGCTACACATCTATAATCCCAGCACTTGGAAGACAGAGGTAGATGGATCTTTGTGAGTTTGAGATCAGCTTGGTCTACGGAGTGAGTTCCAGGCAGCCAGGACTACACAAAGTAACCCTGTCTCGGAAAGAAAAAAAAATTACATGCTGGTAATAGCAAAAAGCTGTTTGGCCAGAAGGTAGAGATCAGGGCAGTGCCACTATTGAGACACCGTCACAAGCCCATCTCACAGAGAAACCTTTACATGTTTTATCACATTTGTGCGTCCACAATACATGTCCACATTCCGTGGTGCACACGTGGCAGTCAGAAGGCAACTTCCAACCTTCCTTCCACCCAGAGTCCGAGGATTTAGCAGCAGGCGCTTTTGCGCTAAACTAGAGTCAGCCCTAAACTAGAATTTTAAAACATTAGACATGAGGGAAAATAAGAAAATATAAAAGTATGAACTGTTTTCTCTCCCCATTTCCTTCATGAGTGTGAGAGAGCTGAATTCTCTCCAGAGCTGAAACCCTCTCCAGAGCTGAAACCCCAGTCTCCAAATTTGCCATGTTGCTTTTATAATGAAGAAAAAAGGCAACTCATTAGCTATGTCAAAATTAAAGTATTAACAATCAAGGCCTCTGTCCAACAATAAAGTATCATATTTTGTATACACAGTATTTTTTTAAATGAAATTGGACTCGAATTCTTTGCTCTGTCAGCCAGCAACTTCCCTTCTTGAGCTATTCTTGAAGCAGTTAGGTCTATTGCTAATGGATGCCTGAGCTCAGTCTTCCCAACACACTGCTTCCAAGTCACAGTTCCATGCTCACTAACTCTGGAAATGTGTTTTTATAAAAAGATGCCTGGAAATGGAAAGAGGGAATATAAAAGACTATATAAAGGGTCTGCAGGGATCCTTTCTGTTACAATTCTGTTACACTTTTAAGGTGGGTGGAATAAATTCTCACAACAGAGGGACAATTTTTATATCAACAGTATTCTTTTCATATTTTAATAAGTTGTCTTTGAAATTAGAAAGACAAACAAACCTGCATAGCTGTTTTCACTGCTGTCAACATCCTGAATGCCCAATTGTACACGCAATGCACTTGACAGCTTAAGGGCACAAAAGGAAGCAACCCAGGAAGAAAAAATACAAAGGGACCTGTGACCATGTATTCAAAGAGATGGAATAGGAGCTGCCTAGCGAGGTTCTGGAGGTTAGTCATGAATGAATCCAATAGAATCCCCTGAGGTCTGTCCTGT